TTTCCCCGCTCAAGCCCACGGTAATTGCCAGGAAGCGCGCGTATCTGTGAATATTTTTGCAATGCTCATGCGTCAGAGAAGCACGCATGAGGGTTCCATCATATTCAAATCACATGTGTCTATGCCATGGTGCTTTTCTGAGAGTGGTTTTGAGCAAGGATAGCATATTCCAAACTCAGTATTTGATGCATCGTGTAGGTTTGTCTACGAAATCGGTGTATCCAGAAGCGATTTGATGTCGGTTGTTCCATTTTGCCGAGGAGGAGGAGGAGGTGGTGGTGGTGGTGGTGGTGGTGGTGATGGCTTGCAGTGTGAGGAGCAAGATTCTGTCGCCGCAGCTGAAGAAGGAGGATATCATTCAGCTGACTGAGTCCTTCGTGGAGCACGTGCAGAAGGTTGGAAGAGAGGGAGCGGGAGAGAAGGGAGGAGGATGGCGAAGGGAAGAAGTGAGGGAGAGGGGAGGAAAGAAGGGAGGGGAAGAAAGGGAGGGAGGAAGGGGGAACAGATTGGTTCAGGTTGGAAGTAGGAGGGAGGCAGGGGATTTTGAGGCTCATTGGAAGTGTCTGCTGGCACAGGGCGATCATTCAGTCCACGGATGGCCCAACACTTGCTACGGAGTGAGCAAGTCAGCAGTGAACGCGTACACGAGGATCCTTGCCAGAGAGGTAAAGGAGGAGGGAAAGGGAACAGAGAAGGGAGGGCAAGAGGTGCTGTGGGAAGAGGAGGAGGTGCTGTGGGAAGAGGAGGTGCTGTGGGTCTCCTAAGATCCGAGCTACAGCTCGCTGAGAGGAGGATCCTTGTCAACAGCTGCTGCCCCGGGTACTGTGCCACAGACATGTCCTCGTGGGGAGGCACCAAGACGGCTGGTGCTCCTCCCTCCTCCTCTTCTCCCCCTCCTCACTGTTGCTGCAGCTCAAGGAGCGGAAACCCCTGTGAAGCTTGCTCTGTTGCCCGACGGTGATCCTTCTACACGCCAGTTCCCGGCTCTGCTAACCACCTGCCAGGATCGCCAACTGGAGAGTACTGGACGGAAGGCCACATCGTTGACTGGACCAAGACATGAAGTCGCGAGCTAACGTCCTCGAGACAAGGAGAAAGCAAGAAGGTTATGAGTACAGTCTTTGTTCACGAGATTCCGCTCCATGCTCGAGCAGCACGCGTTCAAACGCGATAAGCTCTCCTCTCTCACCATGCACCGGCCTGCCACATCATGAGCCTTCTCGCCCTTCTCCTCACAAGCCGGCACCTGAAAGGCCTTTCCGATGATCATCAAGTTGGCGAAAAAGGAGGCGAAGGTGAGGGCGATCATGAAGTAGCTTGTCGACCGAACCTGCTTCATGTCAACGTCTAATCCACCGCCATCTTGAGCGTTTGCACTTACAACCCTCCTGTCCGACACCTCTTGCTCCAAGGGAACAAGGGACTCGTTGGTCTCTACTAGCGCAGGGCTGGCGCTGATGCTTACGGCTGGTTGGGGTTTCACTGCGATGTTCTAGAAGAAGTCAGAGTCAAGCGAGGGTTCTTGTCTCTTACTTCAGTAATCTGCTTCTGCAGCGCATCATGCATTTTGAGTTTCTCTTGGTGAGCAAGATCCTTCGATATTTGAGCAGCGTCCTCATACCTGCCAAACAACAAAATCAATATCCACTGACTATTATACGCCCACGTTATCTACCTTTCTGCGTTTACGGCTTCTGTTAGTTCTTTCTCCAACAGCTTGCCCCGGTCAGCGGACAATTTCATCTTTTCATGGTGCATCCGCATGAGCTATTAAAACTAGTCAATGAGAGACAGGCGGTATAGACAATCCAGAACAACTTGTATGTCCAATTCTTTCATCATCTTTATGCTGTCTTCATGGAACTCCAATTTCTTGTAGAAGAAACAGTCATAAATTCAAACAGAGCAGGGAAGTAGCAATACCTTCAATTCTTGCAAATACTCATGTGCTGCCTCATACTCCTCGCTCTCAATGGACCTTTGCAGTTGATGCTGAAGTGGAACTCAGATCACTCAGTCTTAAAAACAATCACTTTACCTGCAACTTTGCCTTCGGATCTTGAAAAGTTTCCTTTTCAGTTGCTTTGAGCTTCACAACCCTGAAGGTAAAGTCGTTCAACGACGGCGGTCATCTTTTTAACGTGCAAGACCTCATCTTGATTTCTGCCTCCAACAGCACAAGATCAATGCGCTGTAACACAGCCTTTGAGATGGTCGAGTTTAATTCTTGCTGTATTCAGGGTCAAATGCATCAGCAACAAATGCAACTACTCTCTGCGCGATCTTGCCTGCATTGAAATGTTCTTGGACACGCCCTTCTCCTTCATGATTTCAGCTTTCTTTTCTTTCGCCTGAAATCGATATTCACTATTTAGAATCTTTCTTGACAGTGTGTTAAACCTTTGAATAGTCCTCTTCTGCAATGGCCATTCGAAGCTCCTAAGACACACCATGATCACAAGAAACCTCTAAAATTCGTGTTGTTACGTGTTCAAGCCTCGAAAGTTTGTTGGCCTTGAGCGTTTCATCCAAAGATGCTTGCATCTTTTTGCTGACATTCAATAGCTTACAGGCCAACAACTAACGCGAACATCAAGATCAGACTCTGACGCACGAACTCAGGTTCTGGCTGCACCTCAGTGTCCTTTTCCTGCAGGTTATCCATCTCCTTTTTCAAGGCCTTTGCTTCTTCGTATCTGTTTCGTAGGTCAGCTGCAGGAATCAGCAAGTTACGCGTGAAACCTTTCATTGTCTATCAATTGCGACAATTGACTCTGAAACCACACAACCGTATTAAGTTGCTTTGCCATGATACAGAGACAATCTCACCTTCAACAACAGATACTTTAGTTTAATATCCGAAACCTCGTGAGGAACAGGAGATTCTGGCTTCCCAGCTTCCTTGTTCTGCTTGGTATCATCGTCATTTGGACGCCTGGCCATCCCCATCCTGTATTCAGACGTTTTGAAGGACTGGGCAAAAAAATGCAACGCAATCAGAAACATGCACGAGGAGAGGGAAATTAATACTCACATGAAATCTAGACCCGAACTTGCACTCACTTCTACTGCAGACCGAAAAAGTTTGCCGAAGCTCTATACAAGGCATCGGAGATATCAACGCTGAAGAAGGCCCAACAATGGACACTAGACAAATGACGTAAAGAACTGCGATTTCGCGATCAGCCATACGAACAGACAATATTGCCGTTGTCTCCTTACTTGTAAGCTGATGCCCAAAGTACATGGTCATCCTCAGTCAATGACGGGTTGATCGCCCCTGATAGTGCGAGATCAGCGACTTTCCATGCATTCCACTCCAACATGCTACAAATCATTCCCATCATGCGCACGACCCTCGATTTTCATCCTACCTTCCGTTCCTGCATCGTATCTCACCGGCATCGTAACTAATCGTCAACTGCTTTCATCTCTCACCAGCATCTATCTCTCCTCCTCGTCGTCGTCCTCCTCCTCCTCGTCCTCCTCGTCCCCCCCCTCTCCCATCCCTCCCGCCATTCTTGCGTCTCCCCAGAAGCCGCAATGCCCTTCCCACCCCTTTGCCCCTACTACCCCTACCTCCTTCGATACGCTTTTTTCATCCATGAAGTACCACAAGTGTACCCAAGACTACCCCCACCTCCTCCATTTCAACCGCACCCTAGGTACAACTTCTACCCACCCCCACGAATGACTGTCACTGAAATCTTTATTTCAATCTCAACCACCCCACGCTTCCTGAAAAATTGGAGTACCCCACCATTGCCCAGAAACAGTTTAAACTGCGTCCCCACCCTTTGTAGCTCCTTCTTTACGCAACCCCCTGCTCTCTACCCCCAGCTTGCTGTCGGAGTCCTCCTGCAACGAATGTGAGGGGTGGTCTTAAAAACATACTATCGGGTCTGGGGGATCTTTACCACATGTGTGTTGCAATTTCTGGTACAAATACACCTTAGTTTCTTTTTAAGCTCATTTGACATCTACCCCCATCCGAAATATAGAGAATAGAACCGTATTTGAATTGAGCAGGGTAGGGTGGAACCTAGCAGTAGTTGTGTCCCTTGCACTGGTGGTACGTACCAATGAATGGGGTAGGGGTGTAGTGGGAGACATATTTTATTAGTACGGCCATGGAGGGAGGGAGGGGGTAGTCTCATACTGTATGTTTGATAGGTACCGGTACTGTGCCCCATGGGGCAAAGGCGACATGGGAAAGACCCTCAGGGGCTAGGTGGTACCCACGACTAGAGGGGTACTGGAGGGGGTGTGGCCCTGTGGGGTGGTTGCGGTGGGGCGCATCGGTACCTGGAACGTATCTGGATGGTCCGATCATAGTGAGATGACTAAATCACGGTGGGGAGATAGGGTGGGTGAGTTGCCATTGGGACTGCAGTGCAGTCCCATCAGGGGGTGGGTACTGAACCCTGGGGGGGTGAGTCACCTCCTGAGGGCCACAGCGCCAACCGTGAACTGAGGGTTTCGATCTTTACTGCGGGACTCGGAGCCTTCAAGCCGCTTGGAGAGACAGTGACTCCGGGCCCGGAGGGCCGGATCGGGCCGCCTCAGACCCGGCGCAGAGACGCCTATCATAGTACTCGTATGAGCTCTCGTGATGAGCCTTGCTCGTAGTCTCGCGCGGCCTTTACTCAAAGTTAAGTTAAAGATCAGTACGAGGACAATCACAGTCACAGGCTACCGTGCTAGCGGCGCGGCGCCGCTGCCAGAGCAACTTTAGTCGGCGGAGGTAACTTTTAATCATCGTAGAAGTTACTATCTCGCGGCTAGCCCGGTGTGAACTTCGAAAAGTGTCGGTCGATGAGATCACCAAGCGTAACTAGCGTGAGCTTGAGGGCGGAGAGTCACCCATCGCCTACTCTCGACTTGAAACCTGTGTCTTTGGAAACCCCCCCTCGCGCGCTCTCTCTCTCGGCCTCTGCCAAGTTTGAAAATTCCATCTTCGCTCCTGTCTCTCTCGCCATGTTTTGATCCCGCCTTCCCTTCAACTTCTCAGGCTGTTGAACCCAGAGCTCTGTTGTCACTTGCTCCCTTGCTCGAGGCCGCTGAACCACTCTGGTAGGATGTCGACATTGCCCGGTCGTCGTCGGAAGTACGGTCGTCGTCGAAGTTCCTGACGTTTGCTCTACACCCTACCCTCACAGCAGGTTTTTGCTCAGTACTTCCTTCCTACACTCCTCTAATTCTTGACAGACTTCAGCTGCTGAAGATGCTCCCACTGTCAAGAAGCGATCCAATCCATCTTCGAGCTCCAGAGCTACCAAGAAGCAAAAAGTATACACAGCAGTGCCCAAGACGGGCAAGGGGGTGGTGGCGATGCTCCTCCAGTCTTGGGGCTATGAAATTCCTGAGGAGGCATCGAAATGCGCCATCGCTGGTATAGCAAGAGGAACCCTCAAGGTGAAGACGTTTGACATCATGTTGTTGTTCAAGGCGAGTCCTTTAATGCTCGCTTGCTCTCTCCGCAGGTCGGCTTTGACGCCAAACTTGACTCCGTCGCGTGGCAAGGCAAGTGCTACTATTGCAAACACGGCGTGTTTGAAACCACACACCGGGCTGCCGCAGGCTGCCGCCGACGGTGCTGCACGCAAGTTCCGGGCCGAGTCCGAGTCACCCGGCGGCACCGTGAGTCCGTGACCGGACTGCCGCACTGGCAGTGGCGCCGTCAGTCACGGCGACCGGATCGGACCCGGCGCGAATGGCCGCCCGGCGCCCCGCCCGGCCCGGGCGCCGCGCCGAGAGTCTGTTCCCGAGTCCGAGTACGGTCACGACGGACTCCGGCGGCCGCGAGTCCCGATCTCGGCACCGCCGGTACGGTCACTGTCACCCGACCGTCCGACCGTATCGGCCCGGCAGTACGGTAGTACCGTCCGATCCGATCCGATCATCGGATGCGGCGGCCGCGGGCGGCGGAGTACCGGGTACCGTGTCACGGTGTCTTGTACGCCGTCCGCGTGACAGAAGTTGGCGGCCATTCTTGCAAGCGAACCGTTTACAACCGTGCCATCGTGAGTTTACTGTTCAACTTCAAGTAGGAGTCCGGTTCAACGGAGTTGTTCATCCGATCACTCCCAGTCCAGGCTCCGACTCAGCCTAACCGCCCGGCCGTAGTAGTACTGAGCCTGAGTATAATGCCGCGCCATAATCCGGGGTCAAAGTTAACTCCGCTACTAATCAGTACGCCGGGTACGAGGACAATCACCGGGAGCCTGAGTCGAGGAGGCTTGACCCTGACTCGCCGGGGTTCAACTTGTTCATCCGATCACTCCAGGCTCCGACTCAGTATAACCGCCGTAGTAGTACTCAGTGAGCCTGAGTATAATGCGGGCCATCATAATCCGGGGTCAAAGTTAACTCCGCTACTAATCAGTACGGTACGAGGACAATCACCGGGAGCCTGCCAGTCGAGGAGGCTTGACCCTGATACTTCTTTACTCAAAGTTAAGTTAAAAATCAGAACGAGGACAATCAGGAGCCTGAGAGACGAGTCGGAGGCTTGACCCTGACCCTGATACTAGGCCGCTGAGGCTCTGCGGCAGAATACTTCATAATGGCCATTCAACTTCCGACGAAGTTCGGGCCAAATGTGCCCCCGGGCGGCCGCAGTCGGACGGTTCAGGCCCGGGCGGTTATTCAGTGCTACCGTGCGGCATCATTTAGCAAGTTAACTTTGAGTAAAAATTACTACCACTATTATCTATGTGATATGTAAGAGTCTATTGACTCTCCTGATTGTCCTCGTACTGATTTTTAACTTAACTTTGAGTAAAGACCATTATTATTATTAATTACCATGAGTCACATCGCAACATTCTTTACTCAAAGTTAAGTTAAAAATCAGTACGAGGACAATCAGGAGACTCAGAGTCAGGAGGCAACCAACAGAAGGCTATAACTCCATAATTCCGATCAGTCACGTACTAGTAGAAATATACAGCAGTACCCTCTCCGTGGCAGAGTACCGGCCCCGGCGGATTGAAGGCCATGATTATATAATTGATATTTGTACTGCTGGCTTCCATACCTGGTAGATGTAGAGAGGGCTGGGATCGCAGTTTGTACCTGGGGGTGTTTGCCCGGTACAACACAACAATCAATATCATCAAAATCAATATCAGATTATAGTACCGTCAAGTTTGATGCCACCTGGTACAATTTACAATTAATAAGATTACTAAGTCGATAAGGTGTAGCAATTTCTTTTTATTTCTTTTTAGGTTTTTTTCTCCACGGCTTTCTTATTTTTCTTTCGTTCTTCTGCAGGTTACAACCCCCTTGATTGTAAAGGAGGCCAGGTCATATTCCCTGGTAGGGGGCATGAAAACAATACCAGATAAACCCCGCAAGTACCTGGTGGGTACTTATATTACGACTGGAACTTTTCCGATGGAACGCGGTACCAAACATGGAAGTGGGTGCGTGATCGAAAAGACTTCTTTTAGGACATGATTACTAAAACAATTTGAGAGATCGTAGCCGCATTTGAAATTTTGTCACTGGCTTTTTAAATTCAACACCAGGTCATTCATTGTTTTTTATTAGAGTAAGCTGGGTCGCATGATAGGGGTGGTGTACAATGTACAAACTCACCAGAGTAGTATCTACGTGGCTAGGATGATAGGTGTTAGTATCAACTGGGGTTAGGGGTGGTGATGGCACTGTTAATTTCAGGCAGGGGGTCATGGAATACGTCGGGTTGCAAACTTCCAGTTGGGGGTGGTGGGGTAGGGATGTTGTGGGGGACAAGGGGGTACTCATTCTAGAAGGAGGTGGGGAGGCGGAAGGGGAGAGGGCCGGCTGGCATTATCGAGGAACACAAAAGAAAGATATGTAAGCAGGGGTAGGGTGGTGTTAATGCATGTTCCTGCCACCCCCGACAGGGTAGGGGTACGGATCAAGGGCGTAGCGTACCAAGGGAACAAAGGGGCAGGGGGGTGGTTGGATAGGGGGCCTGGGGTGGGGAACTTGGGTTCTATCTAGCTTGCAATGAGATATGGCGGGAGGCGTGTGGGAAGAGAGGAGAGGTTAGAGATGAAATGAGAGGAGGAAGATGAACAATGAATCTTTTGCTACGAGATCAACACGAGAGAATCTGTTTGTTTGTGATTGCATGCAAATGTGTCAGAGACCCCCAAACCATGATAAAGCAGAAGGAACTTGTTGAGAACAAACATGATTAGCCAAAGGGTTGTCAAACTTTGATGGATTGGCTGGTAGTAACTGTGTATATATTGTCCTCGTATTTACAAAAGTCTTCTATTCAAAAATTCAGGGCAGAACAACTAACCGTTGTGAGGACTAGCACGGATTTGTGTGCTCACACGAATCTGTCTGAAATTTTGAGGTGAAGGGATAGGCTGTCATTGATTGAAATTCACGAAATAGAGAAGAGAAAACTGACATGCTTCTGATAGGAGATGGTGCATGTGAACTCCGACCTGACATTCTCTACCGAGAACGAAAACTACCCCATCGGAATACAGCCGTATTCCTTGGAGGCGTATCTTGTCAACGATGACTCCAGCGCTCTGGACGTGACTAACTCTTCCGTGTGGGACGAGACTACGCGGTCAAATCAGTCCCCTGAGCAAGCAGATGAGAACAGAAACGACAGTACCGATCAAATGGTCGCTGAGAGGTCGTACGGTCAAAGGAGGCCTGTAATATTGGCTAGGCCTTTTGGTGCGTTGAACCAAGTACTAGCTCTTGCTAACATGCTCACAGATCACGTTGAGCCATCGCAAACCAACATCTCAAGCCACAGCCATGAAGAGACGGTAGCGAAAAAGGATGTGATGTAGACAGACATTGACTGTGCGATAGGCAGTAGATATGCCAGCGAATTTCCCAGAAGGAACCATGCTACCGAACATTGGCAGGTATGGCATGAATCATGAGGCGAGTGTTCTGTGACGTTGTTGCCAAGATTGTACCACTTTTCAAGTGATCTTGGCCCGATGCTCGATCAGCATGAGTTGACGGAGGAGGAGGCTCAAGAAGCAGTCGACATCAGCCTCCATCAGGTACCAGCAGCAGCTGCTAGAGTGGGAAGCTTGACCTTGCTAGCAGGACAAGGCTGAGGCAGGCTTTGGTGGACTGGAATGTGTGATCTGCTTAGAGAAAATGGAGGTTGGCGACCAAGTTTCTACATTACCCTGCAAGCACACCTTTCATCACAGCTGCATTGCCAAGTATATTGTTTGATGCTTGCTTGATGAGAAGTTCCATCCCTGACAATGCCTGTTGCAGATGGTTATCTGCAAAGCTAAACGACAGGCTTGCAGGATGCTGTCCCAGTTGTAATCTTCAGGTGGACAATTATCTTTTTATATGTCTTGTCATACTGAGCCGAATTCAATGATCAGATCGTTTTTCCCGTTTGGTTTGAAGGGCAGCACGAACATGTTTTGAATCAGATTGTGGTGGTAACATCTTGCTTGCCTGCATCATAATCCCTTCTGACAAGTCTCTCTTCAGCAAAGATCACAAAACAACGAACAGCTACTGAGGTTCAGGCGTAATGTTTGCAGTATCATCTGTGTGATTTTGGTCGCCATGGTCCTTGTGAATGTCATCATTTCGTTTGGTTAGAGCAGGAGCATGCAACTGTCTTGGGGCACAGGTGGGCTGTTGGTGCAAAACCCCAATCACGAAGCATGCATAATTTTAGATCCTGAAAAGATGAATGTATGAAACACATGTATTAATAGAATTCAATCAGAACAAAAATGTGCCTGGCTCCTAAGACCGTGTCCCTTCTCCCTACTCGACCGGTAGATGCCAACAAGTCTGTCCGGTGTGCTTGTTCTTGTAGTAAGGTTTGTTCTTAGACCTACTCCAGTACTCCTTCCATCCCTGCTTTTCATCACTCTCCCTCGCACACCAACGCCACTTTCTCACCTCGGGGAGTTTCGAGCTTGGGCTGTCCGGTATCTGGTCCCCCTTCAGCTCACATGGAATGTCGCATGCACTAGCTGACCTTGCAGTCTCTTGAGTTCGACGTCTCCTCCGCATCCTCCGACTTGAACTGGACGCAAACGAAACCTGCGCGAGGCATGAGGCTATCTGGGCAGCGGCGGCAGGGGACGCACTGCTGACTCTCGTCTTGCCGTGGACCTTGAGCTCAAGAGGAACCCAGGTCTGCTCGCTTCTCCCCTGCCCTAGAGGTCACCACCTCCAGCCGAGCGAGTCTCGCAGACCTTGGCGTCGAGCACGATCTCCTCCAGGTCGACGACGGCGCTTCCTATCAGGGAGTGCTGGACGACTTGATTCCAGTCCCACACCTGAGCAAGCGTCAGCGAGCGCATGCCTCCTGGAGGGCCCGCACCTCGATGTGGAGCTTGGATGGAGCGTCGTCGGAGTCGAGGAAAGAGAAGAAGTACTCCTCATTCCACACGGGGTTTCTGTTCTTGTGCTTCACCGTTGACTTGTGCAGGATGGACCCGAGGCTCAGCTTGACGTAGGGGTCGCACAGCCCTGGGAGTGAACAAAGTGATGGGGAACAAGGCTTGCCCCAAAGCTCTCAGCACCTGTTGTTATGTCAACCTTGGGGAGGTCCTGCGGAGGTCATCAGAGGAGGAGCTTCGCGGTCAGAGTCCGACCTTAGCTGAGATCAACCTGAGGTGGAAGGGAGCGTTTCCGAGCTTCAAGACCCTGTCCTCTTGGGCTCGAGCGTCATCGCAAGGGGTCTGACCATCCTCTCATCCAACTTGCACCTCTTCTCCTCGCACAGTTCTACCTGGGGAACACTAGGGGGCAGCCCCTTCTCTACTGGGCTCCTGCTGGGCTCGGGCAGCACCTGCTCCAAGGAGTCAACGACGCGGGAAGCTGCAAGCACATCGTGGGGTCACGCGCTCAGAGACGTGATCGCCCAGCAGCTTCGCTCGAACTTCGAGCTGGCAAGACGCAGTGCTGGGCATGGTATCTTCAGTGATGTCGAACGACTGGTGGGCCTCGCGCTCTGCCTGCGACAAGACCCGGTCGAAGAAGGCGCAAGGGATCTCAGAAGTCCCGCAGACGACGGTTGACTGCGAAGCGGCATCGTAGGTACACACATCGACGTGCATGGATCCGAGGCCGTGCAGGCCGTAGAGGAGGAAGACGAAGTTCTCGTTGATGCGCAGGTCGGACTGAGCGCTCTTGGGGGACGTGACATACTCCGGATGTTCAACTCCATCCCAGCTGAGCATCAGCACAAACTTTTCCTGGACTTGGGATGGGATGGAAGTCAAGGCAACGAGGTCAAACTGAACGAAGACAGGCTTCTGCTCCTGTCCGTTACATCGCTCCTCTTTCAGCTCGCAACCCTCACCTGCTGACTCTCGTGCGCATCTTCTTGAGCCGGCAGAGGCACTTGCTTCGAGGCTACGGCCTGCACCTCGTCCTCTCTCGGCGCCTGCTGGTCCCGCGGCCTCGTCAGGTTTCTCATCGCCTCATCGAGCTCATCGAGCTTCTCCTTGAGGTCTTGCCTGCCATCACGTCACTGCCCTCAGCTCTTCCCCAGCTGCCATGCCCACCTGTCCATCTCCAGGTCCACATGATCCACGTCCTCCTGCGCAAGCATCGCCCCGTTATACCCCCGGTGCGCAGCCGCCGCTCTGCATGACGTCACTTGCTCTCCACATGCCACTCGTAGAGCACTCACATCCTTTCGCTCAGGGAAAGGCGGTCGGAGAGCGGCGGCTGGTACAGCTTCTCCTGCGTCTGCATGTTGTTGGAGAGAGACACGAGATTGACGATCTTGTCTGAGGTCGACTCCCCAGCTGAGCCTCTCCACAGGTAGCTCGACATTCTGTCAGCTCCCTCGTCTCCCCCCTCTCGCCTGCGCTGAGGGAACGTCGCTCGGTCGCTGGCAACAGCTTCCTTGCTCCCGAAGAAGTTCTTGAGCATCCTCTGCATCCAGGAGCTCTCAGGAGAGCTGGAGTGCTTCGCCTCCCTCCCGTCCTCACGCTGCCCCAGCATCCCAAGGGCCGACAGCCGCTGGAACTCCCGTCGCGTCACCGTCTTCTCGCTCGCCGGGTGGTTGGGGTCTCGTCCGGGGGGCCTGTAGCGCAGGGTGACGGAGGAGCCGGCAGGGCCGGACGAGAGGAGGCGAATGTCATGCAGGGGCATGTTTCGGATCGGAACCCCGTCGATAGAGAGCAGGGTGCTGCCCTCTTCCACCCCTCCCAGCACGCACGTCCCCCAGGGAGCACAGACGAGATCCAGTAGAAGCCGTTGATGTCCATCTCCAAGGTACACCCAAGCCCAACCTTGCGGACCTCCTCCTCCCCCCTCCACGCGGGCGGCTGGTCGAGAGGAGGGAGCGAGTCAGCGAAGTCGATGCTCCTAGGGGTCAGCGTCCTCCTCTCCATGGCCTGCGACACCTGACGGATGGTTGAGGGAGTGGCGCCAGCTTTCTTGAGCGCATTCATGACCTTGGATCGAGCCTTCTCTCGCCGCTGCATCGCCTCCTTGAGTTGACTCGCATCCATGCTCTCTGCCTGCTTGTCCTGCTCCGAGTGGATCGACTGCTCCAGCATCACCCACGAGTTGTGCAAGGAGCTCCGATCGGTGCTGCCAAGAGCCTGTCAGGCCAAAGCAGCATCGGTGATGCACGACAGAATGGCGGATGGCAGATGGTGATCAAGCAGATTACAAAGCAGGAGCAGCGAGAAAGGAGGAGCAGGTTTGTGTGAGAGAATGAGTAAGGTTGCAGTCAGAAAAGGGCAAGAAGGCAACAACAGATCTAATACGGTGAAGGAATGGCCGAGTTAGTAGGAGCAGGAGCAGGAGCAGGAGCAGGAGCAGGAGCAGGAGCAGGAGCAGGAGCAGGTACAGGCCCGGGAGCAGGAGTGCGGCAGGAGGAGAGAAGCAGGACGAGAGAAACAGGTGTAGGGGAGGAGCCAGGACTGAGGGGACTCCCGAGGACTCCGGGAGGAGCATGAGCCTCCGGAGAACTTGCGCCAGGAGCAGGAGCAGGAGCAGGAGCACGGATGAAGTCACCTAGCATTGTCGTCGATAGCCATCGTCGGATATTTCGGGGAGTCACGGTAGCCTGCCGAAAAGTAGCCGAGAAATATCAACGATTTACCTAAGATAGCTCACTTTCATCTAAATTTAGATCAATTATATCTAAATATCAACGTTTCGTTGACGAAACATCGCGATTTAACTCACATTTCATGATGATAACCAGGCAGAGGAACTCCGGCCCTATGAATATCGTAATTCTTTAAAAACTGTATTTATACTTTAGTTAAACTTAATTATCTGAAATTCACTACCTGGTCTTCGTTTATATCATTTTTAAATAGTATTTACTTGCTAGACAGGGACTCAGCCGAATAGTTCACTCAATAATTTTCAAAACTAGTTTTAAAAAGGCAGCGTTATTGCACTACCCCATGAGATAGGGAGCGACGGAGAGTCGACATGCTGACGATGCGATGGCCTAGCGGATCACAATGAAGTTGGTGGGACGGAGAGCGAGGCAGGGAGGGAAGCGAGGAGGCAGATGGTGAGAGAGGGAGGAGGGATGGGATGGGATGGGAAAGGAATGAGGAGCAAGAGAATTTGAGGAGCGGGACAGGGAGAGGGAGAGGATAAACTTAGTGCATCTACCCTCATCGGGGTGCCTGGACTCGATAGGATGATGCGGGAAGACCGAGCTAAGGATCAATTGGAGCGGCATGCTTGAACTAGCTCGTGTGGCCATGGTGGTTGGAGGGGAAAATTCGATGCAAGCATGCTGTGCTCTGACAGCCTGCGCAGGTCGAGGATGGGAGTGTCACATGACATGGCATAGGAGGGAAGCAAGAGCTATTCGTAAGGATGCGTAAAGTCAGCCTCTTGCTAGCAGGTAGCACATCTCATCTCGTCGGGCTCTGACGATGTTGCCAGCTACAGCTGTGACTTGCGCAGTGTTGGTGTGTGTGAGTGTGAGGAGAGGAGAAGATAACGAGCAAGGTTGGAAGTTTGACATGCTTGCAAGGCTGATGGGTTGAGAGCAGAGAAGCTCGACAGGCAATGGGTGGATGCAATTCCGGCGTTTGGGACGGCGATGTCGACGGTGAGCGGAGAGAGGAGGCGAGGAGAGGAGCTTGGAGTCTTCAACTCCTGAGAGAGACTAAGCGTGCTGGTTGATCGGATCTCCTGCTATTGTTGTTGGCTGATAGCAACAAGATCGACGATCTTTGTATGTTAGATCGTTTGTTCAATGCTGCTTGGACGGATGTCTTGTCCTGTCGTGTAAATAGGTTACGATAGTATGGTGTTGACCTGTGTGAGTTGATGCATGTTCAACCTCAGACTTGTTGTGATTTTTTTTCCCTGACGTGACGACAGGATGATCTATCACGGCAGATTCACTGGTTGCACAAACACAACGCGGCGAAAGGAATTTCACCCGATGCATGTTAGTGATTGATGTGTTATCGTTTTGTTGTCATCGTCTGCTTCTCTTCAACTCTTCAACTGTTCAATTTGTTCTCTCTTGTGTTGTTTTGTTTTGTTGTTGTCTGAGGAAATCAAATCAGATTTTCAAGACAGGGGCAACAACCTACAGTGAGCAAGAGACGAGACTTGGTTCTCACAGTGATGTGTCGATGTGCAGGAGCAGCCCACCCGTGCAGTTTGAGACGCAAGATGGGGAGCAGATTGTTCCAGCCAACAGGTAAGAGCCGCTGGCAACGCAACTCGACGGTGATGGTTTAAAGAAGAGCTGCTATCTCAAACATCCAGCAATCTCTGAAGTCAGCCTACACTCAACAAGAAAACTCTGTCAGAGGTGAGGAGGAAGTGGTAATGGTGATGGTGTTGATGATGAAGATAATTTTGATGATGAAAAGAAGGATGTTTTGTATTGTTTTCTGTTTCTTTTGATATTCCTTTCTTGCTAGCGCAATCTTCTTCAACTCGGAATGCCATGATCCGAGACTTGCGATCACAGGTAGCACACACGTATCGCTGCCTGCCTGCCTCGCTCGCTCCTCTTTCCCTCCCTCGTTTCCGTCGCCCCCCTCCTCCCCGCTCCCCTTTCCTTCGCTTCACTTCTTACTCTTGCTGTAGGTTCGCTGGATTGCCGAGAGAACCATGGAGAAGCTGAGGTGAAGCAAGAGCAATGGAAGGCCGGGATGGGGGTGGGCTGGGAGGGGGAAGCAGGGAGCGAGGGGCAGGGGCGAGGGCGAGGGGCGAGGGGCCAGGGGCAGGGGCAGGGGCAGGAGCAGGATCAGGATCAGGGGCAGGGGCAGGGGCAGGAGAAAGTGCAACGGCAGGGGCAGGGGCAGGGGCAGGAGCAGGAGCAGGAGCAGGAGCAGGAGCAGGAGCAGGAGCAGGAGCAGGAGCAGGAGCAGGGGCAGGGGCAGCAGAAAGATGAACAGGAGAAGAGAAGCAGGCGGAGGAAGAGGAGGAGGAGCAGCAGTATGAGACGAGGAGCAGTAAGAGGAAGGGCAGTAAGAGGAGGAGCAAGAGGAGGAGGAACAGAAATGACAGGAGGGCATTAAGTCTGCTCTTTCAGCTCGTCGGGTCATCGTCGAGTTTCTCCTGGCATGATGAAGATGCTAGTGAAGGCAATCGGAGCTCAGAGAACTTCTCAGCTCTGTCAGGTATTCTCCTGCTCCTGCTCCTCCTCCTGCTCCTCCTGCTCCTCCTGCTCCTCCTGCTCCTCCTCCTGCTCCTCTTGCTCCTGCTCCTGCTTCTCCTCCTCGCTTCTTATGCTCCTGCTCATCTTG